CACCTTGATGAGATGGCATATCTACTCAGCTTAGCATCCAGCCGTTCCAAAACTACGTGCAAAGATAATTTGTTAGAATTCGGAGCAATATATCTGGATCTTAATTTTTGGAGCTTTCGTGACTGCAGGAATTATTCTTTGGTTCTTTCGGTTAAGTCACGTCTAAAGATAAAATAATAAATTCTAGTTAGATTTTTGTTGCTATTTCTCTTATGCCTGATGATGATTGCTTGTGTTGCAATCGAAACGTCGCTATTATTTTAATTTATTATTTTATCTTTAGACGTGACTTAACCGAAAGAACCAAATAATATATTTGGATTTTAGTCCAACATGTAGACCCAGATGGGGTTTGTTTTGACCAAGACAAGGACGTTGCTTGTTTGACTGGCCTGTTGGCAGGGTCAGCGTTGGGCTTTGCTGTACGAGTGTGAGCATTGCTCTAGTGTGCACTCCCAGCCCATAAGGATTATGGTTGCTAGGTTTGCGATCTGGCAAAACTGTCATGTGCATGTGAATTGCTCCAGCGAGCAAAAATGTTTACTTATTCCCATTACTGGCATATCAGTAAAAACATATGTTGAGCTGCTGTTAGTTACAAGGGAAGTGGATTTTGTTTGTTCCAATGCTTATATAAATAAAGAATACAACTACTGCATGTGTTTAGTGTGTGTATGTTGCCATTAGCAGCCATGGCCCGAATCACCCTGAACACGAGCCCGATCTTGTCAGATCTCAGAAGCAAAGCAAGGTTGAAGCTTGATAGTGCCTGGATGGGCGAACACCAATACTGAATGAGTGACCACGGGTCTAATAGTAATTGACATTTATAAGGCACAATTCATCCAGGGATCCCAATGCGCCATGCAAGAGGCGAGGAACTATACATGCTATGTTGTCAGTGAAGGGCAGGATAGTAAAATTGTTGTACTGTACTTTGCTCTGACATCCATGCTCCCTACCTTCACTTTAAAACACTGACCAGGGTAATGAAGTGTGGTCACGTAATTTGAAACGCATTATGCGGGGATGCCTTCAACCAGCAGTGGATTTGTAATAACAAAAAAATTACAAATGTTTATTAATTGTAATTCTGGAATGATGTTCATTGTTAAAGATGTACAGCACATGCATGTCAACATTAATCCTCAGTTAGACTTTTTTTTAAAAACGGCTTATTTGGAGAGAAAATGATATGTCCTATATTTTAAATATGGTTCATGGCCCCACAAAGGAGCGTGCGTGTCTTTTACAGCACTTCAACAGCTGATGCTACACATTCAAATTAAAACTTATGCAAAAATCGAGGTTTTGTTCCACAGAGTACTGAATAGTCCCTTGAGAAAACAAAATATATTTATATATATTTCAAATGTACTCTCTCAATGCACGTGCTATTATATAAAAGCATTACAGTTTATAGAGATTTGCCTTTGGCTCAAATTCATAGCACATTAAATATGTATTTTTAAAGAACACCCATAATGTATTGTTGGTCTTTTAATCATGCTTTACAAGTGCATTTTATTACAAATCAAAAAATGCTTGATGTGATGGGTGAGCTCAAATGAAGGTGTCTGCAATCTACACAGAATGAAAGCAGAATTAAGCTAAACTCATAATTATCCATGCTTTAATTGTAATTCTCTCTTGTGGAGTGTACAAATATGAAAATCTACATCTAAAGTACATGTACAGCCCTTTGTTAATCCATTGCTGGATGAGGTCCCTCCCCAGCTTTGTGGGAGTTATCTGACCATGTACATAAGGCCCTATTGTGAATATTATTATATTTATATATGCCCAACGCACACACAATTCCGTGTGTATTGACGAAGGTGTCGAACATATATGTGGCAGCATAGGGGTACATTTCAACAATGGGTGTTGCTGCCCTATCCTCTGCTGCCCTGCCACATTGCCCCACAACCTATAACTTGCTGTTGTGCATGGTGGTCGCCCATCCAAGCACGAGGGCAGGCCCAAAAACTGCTTGGCTTCTGACATCTGATGAGATTGTATGTGTTCCAGCTGATTCAGTTATAGGCAATATATAGCAGCGAGACCTTGAGAGTGAAATTCAAAATGTATCCCGCTCAAAGACCAATGAAGCAGGGCTCACTTATCTTAGCGCCACTATGCATGTCGTGGAAATTCTGAGTTTTGCAAAAACATCTGGCCTTTGAATACGAGCACATGTGGAGGCTGCTATATATAGCATGGTAGGATAGAGTAATCAGCTTCAAAGTTCAGAATAAAATATGACAAGAAAGTATTGTGAACATGATGGGAAAGAGAGGAGGCTTGGATTGCTGGGGCACATGTGCAGGATGGAGAAGGCCAGGTTACTGAGATGGGCATTGGAGTGACGTCATGAGGTCAGAGACCAAAGTTGAGACCTAGAGCCACATATTGGGATAATGTAAGAGCAAACAATGGAAGTTTGATTCGACTGTTCAACAAATTGTGGCACCTGACAGAAAGAAAGAAGCGATGGCAAGGTGTAGTTGTATCGATGGCGTACTTTGGTGGGGGGGGGGGGGGGCAGTCTTTCTGAAGGACTTCCCACAAAACAGTACTCGTTGTATCCACTTCAGATAGATGGTGGATTGATTCGAACCCAACCAGAGCTTAAGTGTCCACAAAAATTATGATTTTGAAAAAGGTTTGTGAAAATGTTTGGATTTCTGGCGTTCATCTCATACTCAGCTCTGGGATACAATTGCTGCAGTGAGTGAGCTTGGGTTATTTGGACTCACAGGCTGGAGGCATGCCAGTCCAGTTGGATTATGTGTCAAGTTTGGCTGCGGTACACAGAAGGCTAAATATGTTTCTGAAAACATTAAACAAGTGGGCCTTTTAAAATTTTATTTTAGTCCTTTTGATGGTCCATTGGCCGAGGTGCTCTATTGACATGCCCCATATGCAGACACTAAACAGGACATGTGCTTTGACAGACTTTTGAACAGGTTGTGGTATGCTGATGGTCATTAGTAAAGATAGACATTCTGACGCATTCTTTAAACTCATACTGTTCAAGTGCATCGTATTAAACTAAAGCTATTAAACATATTTTATTTTAGCTTTTTTTCAGAAGCGACCTGGGCACAAATGACAGCTCAACGAAGTGGCTTATATGGAAATTTATATCAGCCAAATTCTCTTAACCCATGGTTCGTATATATGGTACATACGAATCCAGTAAACGTGGAATTCTAGATTTGAAGCTTTCGTGACTGCAAAGATTCATATTCTTAGGTTTTTTCGGTTAAGTCACGTAAGTAAAACATCAAAAAACATTTTGATGTTTTACTTACGTGACTTAACCGAAAAAACCTAAGAATATAAACGTGGAATATTGGCCCAATAACACAAAAAGTGGTCCAACGGCTCCAACCACGAGTCAACATTGGCCCAACGTTACATATTCACTGGGAACTCCTCTTATCCACGGTAATGTTAAGGATCAATATTGCATATTGCTATTATCCGCAAAGGTTCTCCCCAAATTCACTTCACTTTCCCATTGGAAAGTTCAAGGGGCCGTCCATAAATGACGTCACGCACCTGGGGGGGGGGGGGTCAGACATTTGTGACGATGTGTGACGAAGGGAGGGGGCGGTTGAGAAATGTGACGTCACATCAAAATGCGCAACTTTAAATAAATATAGACAACACGTTCTACTTAATTAAATAGACTTTTTAATAAATGTTTTCTCCTACAACATCAGAGTGCAGTGCCACATTAAATACGCACTACAATGGCAATAGTTTAAAGCGATTTAAAGCTTGTTTAAAAAACATTGGGGGGGCAGAGCTTTGTGACGTCATATTTGAGAGGGGTCTAACTTTTTGTGACGCCTGTGATGAGGGGGGGGGGGGGTCAAAAATCGTCCAAAATTGCGTGACGTCATTTATGGGCATTTTATTGTTCCAATAAGCCCAGCAGCAATCGTTAACATCAAGTAGCTGTACAATGGTTTGTGCCTGTGCTTATTGTGCCAATATGCAGCTCATTTTCTGTTTGTATAACTTTGTTAAGTAGCGAGAGTATAAGCGATTAGACTCTAGTCTATATCACTAGCGGAGATGATTAAAATCTTATTTCTCCTTTCATTGCCATCAGTCATGTTCCATCCACTGTTGGTTGAAGGTCTCAAGCCATCACATGGCACATTTCAGCAGGGCTACACTGGGCTGATGACCACTAAGAATGGTGAAACCATTTAGTGGGGAGGGGGGGTGGGGGGAGATTGCTGTGGAGGAAGATGTGGCTATACAACGCTGATGATCACTAATAAAGGCGAAATCACGACAAAGATTCCATGATTTTGAATTAAAAAGTCCCTTCTCAGATGCAAGTTTTAGCTTTGCAATCGTGGGATTATCTCATTATTTCTCTTTTGCTCCTTGTTGTTGGCATACGAGCATAGTTTGAATTAATTGCAATGCCGTGCTTTGTAGCGTGTACATTATTCGGGCAAATGATTATAATTTTGTGTTATATTAAAGTAACTTTGACACATTTGTCTGGACACATTCTCAGCCCTCTCGCTCAGCCGGCTGAGGAATGCGGGGTGACGTCACGCGCCACTTCATCCAATCGCCTGACGAGGCGTCAGAGAGGCGGGGGTGGGGGGGGGTTGGTGGGGGGGGATCTCACACACTGGTCACGTGCGCGGATTTCGACCAATCGAGACGCGCGCCTGGGCTGAGAGTGGGAACGTGGGGGGATTAAGGGGTGGGGGATAAGTGATCGGGAGGGGGGGGAGGGAACTGGATCCCAACCACGTGACCGTCTGATGACGACGACGTCGCAGCAGCCATCTTGGTCAAGGATATTGATAGGCGAGCAGGGGGAGGGGATAGGGGGTGGGGGCTATAGCGATGACGTAACCTCTGGGGGTGATGGGGTAGGGTCTCCCTTACCAAGATGGCCCGTGATGATCACGGTGGGGGTGGTGGGGGGGTGTGAGTCAGGGCTGGCTCGGCGAGGAATGCAGCTCCCGAGTTTGCGGGAGATGGAGTCAGAGAGAGGCGGCGGAGGCAGCGAGCGGCGGCTGTGATTTTAATTTTCTAATAACACAGTTTCCTTTTGTTGTTGTTGTTGTTTGGATAATTATTATTTCTAAAAGTCGAATCTCTGCAGCCATGAGCTGCCGCCGTTTTCGTTCGTCGTTTAACGCCCGCCCGTGTTAGTAACGCGTTTACTGTAAGTGTCTATACAGTATATACACGTAACGCATTGTTCATTTTTTTTGCTGCGTGTTTGTAAAGCGGTTCGCGTCGTCCGCTTTCGTTGTGTAGCGTTCGGAAACGCGAGAGAGAGAGACAGAGAGAGACACGGTGTGTTTGAGGACACCGATTCTCGTGCCTAGCAATGACAACGATGGGCGAGAGAGCGCGGCGGGGTAGCTGGTGCCACCAATAGAATCTTTGACTCCAGCAAAACCACTCTCCGGTTCACACCCGCTCCAGCAAGACGAGAAGAAGAAGAAGCAGCAGAAGAATCCTGAGCAACAACAACAGCAACAACAACAACAACAACTTATTTGCCTAGACTCGTGAGGGAGCGGAGTCCGGGCCGCCACGGGGGAAAAATGGCGCCTACTCCGCTCTCCTTCGCCTCATCATCAACATCATCAACAACATCGTCGTCGTTCTATCATCTCAACGTCCGTAGCTTCTTCTCGTCGACCTCGCTGCTGCTGATGATGATGCTGCTACCGCTGCTGCTGCTGCTCCCGTCAGCCGAGCAGCAAGCGCAGGGGTCGCCGCGCTGCCCGCCCGGCTGCTCGTGCCGGGGAGACGGCGCCGACTGCGGCCGCGCGGCGCTGGGGAGGATTCCCGCGGGGCTCCCGGGCGAAGTGGCACAGCTGTGAGTGCCTTACACCTCCTCATACACCTCCTCATACACCTACTCTACCTCATCATCATCTTCACCTCATCATCATCTTTCTATGTTGCTGCGTTTCTTGGATGTGTGTGGACCTGCTTTGGCGCATTGACGATGTCGGGGACAGCTGTGAGTTGCCTACACCACCTCCTCCTACTACACCTCCTCCTCTACCTCATCATCATCTCTACCTCATCTCTCTCTGTGTGTTGCTGCGTTTCTTGGATGTGTGTGGACCTGCTTTGGCGCATTGATGATGTCGGGGACAGCTGTAAGTTGCCTTACACCACCTCCTCCTACTACACCTCTACCTCCTCCTCTACCTCCTCCTCTACCTCATCATCATCTCCACCTCATCATCATCTTTCTATGTTGCTGCGTTTCTTGGATGTGTGTGGACTTGCTTTGGCGCATTGATGATGTCGGGGGCAGCTGTGAGTTGCCTTACACCACCTACTACTACACCTCCTCTACCTCCTCCTCTACCTCATCATCTCTCCTCATCTCTCTCCTCATCTCTCTCTCTCTGTGTTGCTGCGTCTCCTGTAATGTGTGTGGACCTGCTTTGGCACCGTACGCATTGACGATGTCGGGGACAGCTGCGAGTGCCTACACCACCTCCTCCTCCTACACCTCTACCTCCTCCTACACCTCTACCTCCTCCTCTACCTCATCATCATCTCCACCTCATCATCATCTCTGTGTGTTGCTGCGTTTCTTGGATGTGTGTGGACTTGCTTTGGCGCATTGATGATGTCGGGGACAGCTGTGAGTGCCTACAACTCTACCTCCTCCTCTACCTCCTCCTCCACCTCCTATACCTTACCTCATCATCTCTCCTCATCTCTCTCTGTGTGTTGCTGCGTCTCCTGTAATGTGTGTGTGGACCTGCTTTGGCACCGTACGCCTTGACGATGTCGTGGACAGCTGCGAGTGGCCTCGTCACAGGCACCGTGTGGTTGCTGTGTGTGTGTGAGAGAATGCGTCAAGTACGCTGTGCCCCCCACCGATTGCTGTGGGCAGCTGTTGAGTGGCCTCGGTGAGTGGCTTCATGGTTTCTCATCGCCTGTGTGGACGCGTGTGAGAGAGACTGAGGAGACGACTGCGTTGATGCAGCTGTGGCCGCTTGTGTGTTACCCTTCGGTGTCTGTCTGGTGACTGTGTGCAAGACTGTATGTTGACTGGCTGTGTGCGACTTTGTGAAAGTTGCTTGTTTGTGTGTGTGTCACTGTGTGGAGAATCAGCTATGAGTGGCCTCCACATGTCTTCTAGTTTCCCATCTCCCTGTCTTAATGTGTACAACTGTGTGTGTGTCTGTATATGTGGAGCGGTGGTGCAGCTGTTAGCGCGACGTGCTTTACAAACCCGGCGACCCCAGTTCGTTTCCAGCTCACGACTATCGGAACCGATAATGAGCGTCCTCTATGTCGACTCAGCCTCAAATGAGTACTTGGTGCGGTGTGTAAACATCACCACGACGGAGACAAAGGCGGCCGGCCGTGGTGTTGGCCACCCACCCCCTCGTGTGCCATGCGGGCCTTAATAGGTGCTCGCTAACAGCACTTGACCCAGCAGTCTTGTTAAGGGTACACGGGAGGATCTTTGTCTTGGCATGTGACTGTCCCTCTCTGTCTGACTGCGACTGTATGAATGATTGTGTGTGTCTGGCTGTGTGCAACAATGTATCACTTTGTCCGTGTACTGCCTGTGGTTTTATGTGTCTGTGTTTATATGTATGTGCGGCAATGTGGGTGACTTCAGGTATTGACTGTATGTGTTGATACATTTATGCGTCTGAAATTTTCTGTGTATATATACTGTGTTCAGTATATGTCAGGATGTGTGTATATGTGTCTATATACTGCATGAATATGTATGTGTACCGTGTTCGTCTGTATCAGTGTGAGTTTCTGTGTGTATGTGTGTCTGTGAGTGTATATCTGCTTACTAAATGTGGGTATACGTGTATTTATAAACATCAACACCGGGCAGACCAAGGCAACATATACACGGGTTGGTATATTCTCCAAAGATGCCAGCGCAAGTTACATACATGTATGTTGTATTTGGGTATGCGTGCGTCTTTGCGTCTGCATTTTCATAACGAAATATTTGTTTTGGGTGTTTGTGTGTTTATGCATGAACGTGTATGCTGTTATACACATCTGCCGTACGGTATACATGTACGTAAGAGTACTGTAGGTGTACTGCATTCCCTTTGTGAATGCGTTTGTGTGGGTATCTCTGTGTATGGGTTTGTGTATACAATACGTGTGTGTGTGCGTGCATTTGTGTCCAGTAGTCTAAGCTTCATAAACGCAACTTTCGTGCACTCTACCCCTCCATCGTTGGCTTCTTTCTCTGTCAGCGATAGCAAGTTTGGTCGCTTGCCCGCCTCAAGTCTTCACTCTCCTGAGTCGTTTTACGCTTTTCGTAAACACCCCCACAACCTCTCTCTCTCTCTGTAGCCTCACGCGATTTCCACCACTCTTACCTGGCCAGGGTCATGGTTTTTCATCTTGAATAATGCCTCCTTTCTCTACCTGCTCATGAGTCCCCACGTTTAACGTTCCAGGGTCAAGGTGTCCCCCCTCTCTAACCTCCCAGGGTCTTTTTTTTAGTTCAACCTGCCACAGTCCCCACTCCCACGGGCTATGCTTTCAATCCACCCCCACAGGCATCTTCAACTTTGCACCCTCCAGGGGCATTTTAATTATTTAATTAAACCCTCTGCAATCTTCGAGACCCATATACGTCCACTGTCAAGGTCCATTCTGTCAGGACCCACTTTCTCTAACCCACCAGGAGGGCCATCGGTTCCCCAAAACGATTGCCCTGTAATTCCATCCACAAAATTTGTTACCACCCTTCGTGCAGAATTTCCATCTTTTTAGAACCCCCATGCGTACACTTTCTGGGGTATCCCTACCGTATCTCTGCAGAGGCCCCCTTTTACAAACACTCCCACTCAATATTCCCCCAGGCCTTCCTCTTTCCACCTATCTCCCAGGGTATCCTTCATCCTCCTAGGGTCCATCAATCCTCATTCTGACGGGGAGTATTGCTTTCCTTAGGTATATATCGTGTGCCATAAACAGCATGCGATGTTCTTACCAAACCCTTACCGTGCCTATATGTGTAGGAATGGTACACAATTGCGCTGTGTGTAGGGTAAATGGGGGGCATTGTGTGCCTATACAGTGCACGACACTATGTCATGCATAGAATGAGTTCTGTGCTGTTGTATTTCATGTTATGTGTATACTGTACATGTACGGCGCGTTTTGGCAATCAACTGCTGGACGAGGGCCCCCCCCCACGCCGAGAGAAATTTGACCATATTTCACCACATTTTACAATGTCGGTTTGGGGGTGGGTAGAGTAGAACAAATCGATTTTGCTGCACCGCTAGCCCTCTATTTCCCACAACAGCTGTTAGAACTATCGTGTCACATGGTTGTCACAATTTCTCAAGCACTCTGTCCAGCCCCAAAGCCTGCTTAGCATCTGGGGATTCGGTCAAATTCTGTTAATGCGGTATATCTCCATATATATAGAAAAAAGGCAAAGTTGTGATTATGTGTGTCTGTTCAAAATGTTTAGCGTACTTCCCGACATGCAACAAACTTGAAATTTGCCATGTGAGTACTTTCCAGACTGTACACCATGCAAAAATTATAAAAATACACTTTTTTAGGGGGGGGGGAGCTCAATAATGCAAGTGAGCTGTGACGTCAAATCTGTCTTCTGACCCGCGCATGTGGAAGCGTAACGCATTGTAGTGTAGTGGTTAGCACGCTGCGCTACGAACCCGGCGACCCGAGTTCGATTCCCGCTCACGGCTACCACCAGTGACGATTATTTCAACCGTTCCTGGGCCTCCCCTAGGTCGATTCAGCCTCAAACGAGTAACTGGTGTGGTGTGTAAACCTTGCCACTGGGGAGACAAAGGCGGCCGGGCGTGGTGCTGTCACCCACCCCCTCGTATGTGTTATAATGAAGTATGCGTAATGTGCTGTTAGGGGGCTAGACTTGTTTTGGTGGTTTGTGTTTCCATCCATTGAGACGACAAGTGGCCACTTTCGTATTCAAGGTGAAGGTTTTAAAGTGGCTGCACATCAAGTGTGTTCTGGTAACAACTCGTCAGTTTGTGCATTGGTTGTTTACATCACTTTGCACCGAGAACCTACGTGCTCACACAGGGGACAGTGAGATGTAATAAAGTACAGGCTGTAGTTTTAATGCATTTTCTTTAGAAGACTTAGTTAATGGTTGAAAGTTCCCAGGTGTCGTCAAAATTGCAGTGAACGCTGCCATTGTTGTGGTTGTATATTACCCTGCACTAAATCAAAACCGACATCTTTGTCAAAAGAATATCTTAGGTAGATGCTGAAGAGAACAAGTGGCTATTATATTTGACAAATGAGGCAGAATGCATGCACACTACAGTGTCTGAAAAAATGTGTTTTACTCGTTTTTTTAAGCATCCTTTTTCTCTACGATTGCTGCCTACCCTTGTATTTATAATTGTTACAAATAAATGGACCAAACGCTGTAATTCCTCGACTTGGCATCCAAGTTGAGTTGGAGTCCAATTGATGGCATTGGCCACAGCGATGACCCTCACGTGATTTATTTTCGTGCTTATTAATATTAGGAATAGCTTGCCTCCTGAGGTGGCTCAGCGGTCGAGCAATCGGCTTGTAATCGGAAGGTTTGCGAATTTTCAATTATGGTTTGAGGCTGATTCAGCCCATAATTCCTCCGGGATATATAAAATATATATGTCGGACAAAACTTTTCCTATGTATAGACTTGCTCCCGCCCGAGGAATGTGGAATTTCAAACATCGGCTCAGGGTTGTTACCAAGAGATGACCACTGCTCCAATGCTCATTTGAGCAAAACAACTATTTTTTTTGCCTCCTAATGTCAAAAGAGTTGGGAAGAATAGAATGCAAACTTGAGCTCGGAACAACAGAGGGCTTGCGTTTCGTAGGCACATAGACTTGGAATTTGCAGTGGTGAAGTTAGCGAAATGTAACGGCTCTATGATTAGGAATGTGAGCTTGATAAACAACTACCCTAATGGTAAAAGTATGCAGGACCACTTGTGGCTTGGCCGCACTTTCACGGGTAGCTGCTGCTACGAATGAACAAGATACAGATTTCTAGTTTTCCCCTTGGATGGACATGCGTTTTGTGAGCATTTTCAATGTAAAGGTTGTCATTTGCTTCTCTTAAGCCCTGCTTCATTGACGCCTTAAGTTTGTGGTATTTAGAACAAGTATTGTTTTGAATTACCAGGAACATCTGTGTTGAAAGCTGGGTAGTTATCAATCTAGATATTCTTTTTTTCCTCTCTACATCTTGGCAGTTGAATTCACATTCACAATCGTTGCACATGTCAAATAAAAATGAAAGCAGCAAGCTTGGCTATTTCACTTGGCAGTAGGTGATAAACATGCCCTACAAGGACTATAATACTGGAGGTGGTCACGACTGTGAGCCGCACAACCAAACAGGACAGTTTTCTGGTCAAGACAGCACTGAATTATACCTCTGTGAACACCTATAGGCTAGTTTAACACGTAGGCTTTCGCGACCAATGTTATTCATAATCAACGTTTTTGGGTTTAGATCGCGTTATTTATACATGTGTCGTAACCCTCCACCACCCGACACGGCCAATCATTCTGGCGAATTGCCCGATGATGCTGGTTGCAATTACCAGCGAAACGTCGTACTCAAATTGTAAATGTTGTGGCTTCAACACACCGGTGGGCTAAAGCAGTGAACTATTTGTCTTTGTCAACGTGACACATGTTTACTGATTGGCCGTGTCGGGTGGTGGAGGGTTACGACACATTTATAAATAACGCGATCTAAACCCAAAAACGTTGATTATGGACCTATAGGCTAATGGCTTAGTTTAGAAATGTTCAATGTAAAGCAGCCGAGTGTTACCTCGACTTCATTCTAAAGGGCCATGCAACAGCCCAAGTGGTGGGCATGTATTGATGAATTGTTTCAGTGATCAAAACCGATTACTTTACTTATACATACATACATTCATTGCATCGTGTGTGTGAGAATCTATTATTTTCAATATATTGTATGTAACTGTATTCTTTGGGTCTTTCGGTAAAGTCATGTAGATAGGTTTTGTTATTTCCTTTGAACCTATCTGTGGGACTTTACCGAAAGACCCAAAGAATATTAATTCCTGCAGTCACGAAAGCTTTAAGTCAAGATTTTTGTGTGCAACTGGTTCCTGTAAACTAAATTGAATTTTTTTTTTATTTTACCAAGTAAGGCCCACCTAGCTATATAGCTCTTTTTCATAAGCGACCTGGACACAAATGATAGCTCAACTTAATGGCTTATCATGTGGAAATGTATCGCAGACAAATGCTCCAAGCGCACGTTTCTAAATCAGAGCCACCGAGGTTCTTAATGCACCATAATGGTATAAAGATAAGTACATTTTTTTAATTGAAATTCCAAACCCGAATAATGATCATAGAATCGTGAAGCGGTGGTATATACTTCACAAGCCCAAATCACTTATGTATGGTTTGACAACTGCATATCTCCTTCCTACAGTTGGTCATGTGCCCGATCCCATCAGATCTCGGAAGCTTCATACAACCTGACTTAGTGCTTGTACCAGAAAACGCCAGGTTTAGTAAGCCAGCTCTGGGGCTATGTTGTGGGCAGCAGAGGGCAGCGCAGCAAAGCACGTTGTTGTACTGTAATTCTATGCTACCAAATACATCCTCCGTGTCTTTAAACCCGAACTGACGAATGGAGAGATAACCCCCATGGCCTGAGCAGTTTGGGAAAACCCTCATCCAGGAGTGGATTGACAAAGAACGTGTACATCATCCTGTAAAAGTATGCATGCTTTTGGCAGTGGTAAGGCTTTTTGCGGGAAGTGTAGCTCTAGAAAATAAGTATCGGTGACAAGCCATAGTTGAGCATTCACAGTTTTGAAAGGCATCTTGATCTTCCATTATAAACCTAGGTGTCTGGGATTCACATCCCACATGTTGCTTTGCTCAAATCTTGTCACTTGTAATTTAAAAATACAGCATTGTTTGTGGATTTTGCCCAAAAAATTGTTTTTGTTTTGAGCAAAGCATGTCTGAGCTTTTATATTTGTGTATTGTACTAGATGATTGCCTCGACTGTTGTAGTGTGCTGCCTGCCTGACTGTTTTTCTATTCAACGGGACACCGATTTAAGTTATTTTACATGCATGATTATTGCCTGGAAAACACACCCACTCCTTGTAGATTCTGTGAGCTTTGCACAGGCTTTAACTCATGGTGTGCATTTGTTGCTTGTTGAACTTGAGCCTGCCCATTCTGAATGCACATTGGTAAACAACGCAGTTCCATTTTGTGAACGTGCAGTGCTTTTTAAAGACAAAATCGTATTGCATAAGCGCATAATGTAGAGCACTATTTGCAAATGGTATCTTAATACGAGTTGAATTTGTCAACATATTACAAAATACTTTTGCCTGATTAAGTTCACGGCCATCATCAAAGCGGGCAATAAAAAAATGAGGTCTGCAGAGGTCGAATTTCTTTCTTTAGCCTACATGATTTGAAGTACCACAAACAGGCTATAATTACCTGAAGAAAATTGAGCTTTGTTGCATTTAATGATGTGATTGATGGAGCCAATTTACTCTTCTTCATCCCTCCTTCCTTCATACTTCCCCAGGGAACTTCAACACAATCAGATTGCCAACATCCCGAAAGATGCGCTCCGTCATTTGGTCAACTTGCAAAAGTTGTAAGTTTCACTCCATGACCATGTTTCATGACCAAACGATGTGCTCTTCAAATAGCATTCACTGAGCCGGTACAATATGTAAATGTTTTATATTGTGTGCATGCCAAATGTTGCCTTGTGGCAGTTAAATCCAGATTAGCCTGGCAGTTTAGCGCAGGAGTGTTTCAACTTGGCGAGCATATCCACGTGGTAGGATTTGAACTCTCGACCTTTTGCTTGCAAGGCAGATTCATGGCCCACTGAGCTGCCCAGCCAGGTTTTGATGTATGCTAATTCTGCGAGCTTATGTGTGCTCTGAAACGTGAGCAATCGGACATGGGAGACCATTGCATTTGAAGTCATCGCTGGTCACACTTGTGCATATGGTTAAACAGTATTTTCATTTGCCTAAAATCCTGGTGTGTATTGTTGCATCTTTTGTGATATAGAGCACTAATAGAGTTAACGCAGCAATATTATTTTAATTCTGGTCAAATGTTTTATTTATGTTATTCTTGTAAAGAAAGCGATTTTCCCTATACAATTTGTGTGGGTGCAGTGTTTTTTTTTATCGGTTTTGTGAACTATACTTGTCTAACTAAATTTAGTGCATGTATATATTCTGCTAGGGTAAATGCAGAACATGTACAGTATCTTGAAATATGTTTTAAGATCACTATGGTACCGACATACTCCCGTCAGCTTTTGGAGGCCTTCATCCAGCAATGGAGTGATCTTGGCTGATGATGATGTCACTTACTACCTTTCCTGCTCATTACCGATGACACTACATCCGTGGCAGGTCAGGCCTCTAGTTGGTACATCTCAGAGGCAAGGGTTGGTGTTTCACACAGATTTGTGAAACCACTAAAGCCTCTGGGGCTGCGAGGTGGCCATAAGATGGCAGTCACCCTGCATGGATTGTGTGGAAATTAGAGTTATCCCCCTTGTCTTCGTGGGATTCTTCAGGTACTCTGGTTTCCTCCGACATACCAAATGCTCATTAAAGGAACTTGACAAACATCTCTATGCAAGACCCTCCTGAAAAAAATATAGTTTTGAGGCTTCGGTTAGACTTTTCCTGGATAAATAAATGACATTATTATTGTATGCAATTACTGACATTGATCCGCCAGTTCTGGTGACATCATTGACCCCACTGGCAGCCATACGTGACCTGCCATTAGGTCACAAGCCCTAGGTTATGAACTACTGCACTGTGCTTTACATAGGATGTACAGAAACACAATGCTTGGCCTTATGTGCAGTCCAACCCAGTTTTGGCTCACTCGAAAGTGTAGACACATGGAAAGTTATGGAGTAGGAAATGCGTGCTTTAGTCTTTTAAAGTTTGTTCCAAGCTCGGGGTACAAAATTTGTTTCAATTTAGGTAATTGTCCTGCGCTTATACAGAATTGATGCAAAACCTAAGACGATGTTCTAAAAAAAGGCTGTAGACATCTTATTATACTAACTTAGCAGATTTTTCTTTATTCTTTGCATAGGTGTACTTAGTTTTAGTGTTTTCATGTTCAGTAGTTAATTGATGGTTCTCAAGGACAATTTAATTGTTACCTTGTTTTTCTTTCTAACGGTTGGAGACCAATTAACATCAGAATTGAGCACTTCCATTCATAATATTTTGCCAAGCCTATCTTATTTGAGCTTTTTGATCAATATAACACACCAACGTAGTTCAGAAATGAAGTATACATTTTTTTTATATTTATTCACAAAGCATTTAAATATTTTTATGATTTTCACGAAAATGTTTTAACACTATTGCATCAGCAAGTGGTCAGTTTTGAAACCCACGTGAAATTAATCTCTCCGTAGCTGTTTCTGTGTCTTTTAGCGGCGGTGCATAGTTGCACAGTGGAGCCCCAGGATTGGATGTCGCGAGCAATTGGTTTACAAACGTGTTCCAGTTGTCCAAATACGTCTGGGGTCCCGGGTGTGGTACGTGCCTGCGCGTGGATCTGTGCGAGGCTCTCTTCGGGCTAGGAAGCACAGAATGGTTCACTTGTGAGCAACGTGTGTGAACCCGTTTCCCCACGCATGCCTGCTCCGGTAAGCAGGGAACCCTGCGCGTTCAGACTCCAGTCACAGGGGGCTTGAAGCAACAGCGCTGATGTCACTCTTAATTCCATGGGGACTGACATTTCAGCAACAACAACAACCGAGTGAACTCTCACATGGAAGCCTTTTGCTTTGAAAGATGTGCAAGACAATAAAGTAATAGCTCTTATTTCGAATGTAGTCATCTCTCAGCCAAGTGAATAATGGAGGGAGCTGTGGCATGGATACAAAGAAGTGGTTTATGTAGACATGTAAATTAGGGTATTTTTATAATTATTTAGCCACCTAGAATGGGGGTTGACCCTCAAGTGTGCATGCAGGGAGCTGCAGTGTAGTATTTAGCACGTTATGCAACAAACCCTGTAGTCACAAGTTCGATTCTCCTGGTCATGGGTAATATAAATGGTTAGTTTAACACGTAGCAGGCTTTCGCGACCAATATCATCCATAATAGAGGTTTTTGAGTTAGATCGCGTAAATATGAATGGTTATTTTTTGAACCGGTCCTCGGTCAACTCAGCCTTTCACGAATGTCCGGTGTGCGCGTTTAAAACATTACCACCGAGGAGACAAAAGCAGTCGGGTGTGGTTCGAGCCCTGCACTGTTCCCTCGCGTACCGTAATAGGTGTTTGCCAACAGCACTTACCCCCCAGCAGCCAGTTTAGGCTATATGGGGAATATTTGTCTGTGTGCCCATGTGTGTGCGCATGTGCACACACATGTGTGTGTGCGTCCCATCTGTTGGCATTCGAGCGCTTCTAGAGGTCGGCGGGGGGGGGCAGCTGCCCTGCAGGCACGGAGTGCTCACACTCACAAGGCTGTCATTGTGCACCGTTCATCCTCACATCCGTTTGGGGCCGCCCGTGCTCACGGCGGGCGGGCGAGCGCGAGCAAGGGACGCTCCGTTCGTGCGTACGGCCTTCACCTTTTGTTTGTCCGTGCTGCGTGGCCTTTAAAATTGATAATCACCTTTGTGCCAGGCTCACTCACAATGCAAGAGCCCTGGACGGTGGGAGCCCATAGGAGGGTTTCCGACCACCACCCTTCCTCCCCAAAAAAAAGGGGGCCGTAGAAAGGAAAGCTTAAAAGGAAAAAAGGGTTGACAACGGCCGTAGCCTATTGACAGTGTTTCTAAGTACCAGCGTGTGAAGTTTGTGGTGTTGATGCCCCTTGCTGGGGGATAATGAATTTCTGTGGGGGCCACAGCTGTGCTTGCTTTGCTGTTGGCACTTGTACAACAATTCCTTTCTGTCTTTGTCTGCTCCTCTCTCAGGCGGAACATTTGCTTTGTAGTGGTGCTTTGTTCCATAGATAGGGCTGTTTGGCAGACATTTCAAGTTGAGCAATGGTCTCTCTGCAAATCCCCCTTATACTGGCTTGCCAAATTTTAGCCGTTGGACAATGTGAACTTTACTTCTACAATTTTCTAACAAATCCTATCTAAGCGCATTTGATCTGCTTTGTGTGTTTTTGTGCTTCGGAATTAATGTATGTGGCAAATTGGGAGTGGTAGGAAAATGATTGATATTGCATTGAGAGACGGAACGAGGAACACGTGGATTAGAGAGCAAATGCAATTTAGAGACATCGCATTAATTGTAAATAAAAGTGGCCTTGTGTATGACATGTCACGTGGAAGGGATTTTGACCGGAGGCGGTCCAGACTTAATGGAGTGAGAGTTAAAAGAGGAAACATTCCAGAGGCGGTGATAGCTTGGAGAGACTTTCATCTAGCAGTGGATAGATGATGGCTGACGATGCATACAAAACAAAGTAAAAATGGCTTCCCTCGCATGCAAATGAGCTCAATCTCCCGTTTACAGCCTTGAGCCATTGATGGAAATTCCACATTCCCCTTGATGGAGACAGGTCGCAGTGCCCAGGGCCAGACACTTTTGGTTTCCAACAAATTGGTTGTATGCCTTTTGGCGTCATCTGGTCCAACACCAATGGAGACTAGGCTCTAAGAAAAGCTGTCTCGGGTATGGACCAATCAACTTCAAGGACAGTGCATATCATTATCATCATCAGAGTTGTTTCTTTTTGTTTGCATTTTGACTGCTTGTGTTGTGGTTATTGCAAACATAATGCCTTGTATAAAGGTGTCAGTTTTTGTACCAGTTGAAAGGGTAAAAACCAATTACTATATTTTGTCACTGGTAAAGGAGGTCTCATAGTGTAAATTGGTTCTCGTTTTAGCAGCCCCAGAGGTGTGAAGTCCAGCAACACTATCTGACTGGGATCTTAATCGGCAACCTCTTCTGGTTGTTAGTTGTGCACTTGAAATGGCGAGCCTACGCAGCATCCGTTGTAATGGTCACTCAAGTGCCTTTTGCAAAGGAGATGGGGTAATGCTAATACATTTAAACTTACATTTTTCACGAAGGCCATTGTTGCTTTTAAAGTATAGCATTTTTTTAATTGAAAAAATAAATCATCAACTGGATAAAGTATTTAAATTTATTATATACTGATCACATTTCTATGAAACAGGGTATTGCAGTGCTTGGAGTATTTGTATAGTAGAAAGGGGGGTGGTGGGGGGGCGATCTTAAAAAGTAAATTGCCAATAATTTTTTAATTTGGCAAAGGTGTGTTCAATTCATTCCTCCGATTTGCCTTCAGCCCCACTACTTGGCAGACGATGTGAAAATAGAACAAACATTAGGTCAGTGTTTATAAGAAGAAAATCAGTCTGATCTTAACAGCTTTCCAAAAGATGTTGTTTATATGGCTTCCAGTAGGGCTTGAGATATATCAGATTATACTGCAATAACATGACCATAGAGTGTTTATTGGTGTCTCTCAAATTCCTAGGAATTGCACGGGCAATAGCGCCAATTGGACAGACTCACATTTACCATCCATGTTAACAAACCTTTAATGGTAAGAAGTAATTATGAAATAATTCCCCAAGTAATTCCTGCTGAAACGAGTGCTG